CGAATGGATGTGCAGTGAGACCGCATGCACACAGGGTTTGAGTCCGGCCAAGGTACACGCCCAGGTTGTAGGCTCCATCGCCAGTGGGGGGCGTGCAGGAGGCAGCTGATCTATGATTCTCTCTCATCATTGATGTTTCTCTGTCTCTCTATCTCTATATCTCTATCTCTATCTCTATCTCTATCTCTATCTCCCTCTCCTTTCCTCTCTGAAATCAATAAAATATTAGTTGGAGCCTTAGCCTGTTTGGCTCAGTGGTTAGTGTCGGCCCGAGAACTAAAGGGTTCAGTTCCAGCCAGGAGTGCAGGGAGCCTGGTTACCACGTGGTCCAAGCCCACACCCACACTTTAGGGGCGTGGACATTCCGTGAGGGAGACGCGAGGTGCCCTGGCTGTTGAGGGGCAGAGTCGGCAGTGACCCCAGGAGCCCCTGGTGCTCTGTGCCCTGCTCGCTGGACTCCTGACCCCGGGTCCGGGTGGGCCTGTCAGACCCCCTGCCGACCTGCGGCCCAGCTGAGAGCTCACAGCCCGGGTGCGGCCGTCCCCAGGGAATCTCCGCCCGCCTCCAGCCCCCTCCGCCCTCGTGGGCAGGAGAGAGGACCCGCCACCCAGAAGGTGCCCCAGGGCAGCCCCGAGCAGACCAGACCTGGGACCCGCAGGAGTGGGGCCGCCGGGCCTGCCTCCAGGGCCTGAAACATAAACCTGGGGCCGCCCCACGTACACGCCGTGGCTCCTGCAGGCCCTGAGGCTGAGGCGGGTGCAGCCCCGCTCACAGACCAGGAAGCCTGGCTGAGAAGAGGGCGCCGGTCCCCCAGGAGGGCAAACGTAAAGGAGGGACGGCGAGGGGCTGGGCAGCTGCTGGGGACGGAGCGGTGAGAGCGGAGCGGTGACGGCCCCCACATCGAGGACGACGCCGGGAAGGGGGCAGGGAGGCAGGAGGCGGACTTGGGGAGCGCGGGGCTGAGGGGTGACGGCCTCCAGCCGCACAGAAAGCAGGGTTTCCCGGGGAGGGCCGTCTCTGCTCCGTGGCCTGCAGGCCCCTCCCCGCAGCGCCGCCTCCGCAGAGCAGGGCAGCCCGTTTCAGCGGTGACCCCTGCCCGAGCCCTGCCGCCATTGAGGTCAGAGCGCTGCCTGGAGGGTTCTCGCTTCCTGTCCTCCCTCCCTCCCTCCGTCCCTCCGTCCCTCCGTCCCTCCTCCCTCCTTCCCTCCTCGCGTCGTCCCTCCTCCCTCCTTCCCTCCTCGCGTCGTCCCTCCCTCCCTCCTTCCTTTCTCCCTCCTGTCCTCCCTTCCTCCTCCCTCCCTCCGTCCTTCCCTCCCTCCTTCCCTCCCTCCCTCCCTCCCTCCCTCCCGTCCTCCCTCCCTCCCTCCCTCCCTCCCTCCCGTCCTCCCGTCCTCCCGTCCTCCCTCCCTCCCTCCCTCCCTCCCTCCCTCCCGTCCTCCCGTCCTCCCTCCCTCCCTCCCTCCGTCCCTCCGTCCCTCCCTCCCTCCCTCCCTCCTTTCCTCCCTCCCTCCCTCCCTCCCTCCCTCCTTCCCTCCCTCCTTTCCTCCCTCCCTCCCTCCTTCCCTCCCTCCTCCCTTCCTCCCTTCCTCCCTCCTTCCTCCCTCCCTCCCTCCCTCCCTCCCTCCCTCCCTCCCTTCCTCCCTCCCTCCTCCCTCCCTCCTTCCCTCCCTCCCTCCGACCCTCCCTCCCTCCTTCCCTCCCTCCCTTCCTCCCTTCCTCCCTCCCTCCCTCCCTCCCTCCCTCCCTCCCTCCCTCCCTCCATCCCTCCCTCCGTGGCTTTAATTAAGGGTTTGCTTGCCAAAGACCCAGCTTTATTTAACTAAATCCTTGGACCTTTTATATTGTCCTCACATATCGCCAGTAAAAAGTTAATTATAACTTCTAAGCATTGGGCTAATGGGCCTTGCCGTCTGCCCTCGGGGTCTGCTAAGGGTGGTGCCCTCTGACGGACCAGCTCAGCCTGGCCTCCAGGCCTCTCGGTGCCACTGCCTGCGCACCTGCCGAGCGTCCTCTGCCAGTGCCAGGCCGGGCCGGGCTCCGGGGAGCCGCCTGGCCCTCAGGGGCCCCCGGGATCCTGCAGGAGGAAGGGGGATCTGGGGGGCCTGAGGGGCCTGGGGGGCCTGAGGGGCCTGGGGGACCTGGGGGGCTGGCCTGCTTGGTGCCCACAGACGCGTGGCAGGTGACGTAAGTGAGTGGGCAGGTAAGAGAGGGGTCAGGATGGTAAGAGATGGCAGCTGATAGCAGCCTCAGTGGGAGGAGAGGAGGCACAGGAGCCCCGGTGGGGAGGGTCTCAAACACGCCACTGGAGGGCTGCACCTCACTATACAGCCTGTGGGGATGGGTCTGTGGTTAAGGAGTTCAGTTCGGGACAGAGGGAATCTGAAATCCTGGTGGACAGCCTGGAGGAGATGTCTTCTACAAAGACCAAACAAGGCACCGGCAGAATCTAAAGAAAGACCTAGGCTGGGGAGAGGGGGGGCTCCGAGGCAGGTGACCCTAACGGTGGCAGGACTGTCTGCCGGAGGCGGAGGAGGAGCGGTCCCCTGGGGGCCACAGGCGCAGAGCGGGGCCCCTCTAGGAATGGGGAGTGGAGCCGACCGGTGCGGCTGGATGGAACGGCTCTGCGGACACCGAGGCTGCTGATCGTGGGGGAGGGTCAGTGGGGGCTCGACTATGAGAGGCAGGTTTCCACAGTAACAGCTCCAAGTCCTGAGGCTTCTCCTGTGCCTGGCGCTATACCAGAATGGCATTCTTCAATCCCCGCAACCCTGTGGCAGGTCAACACTCTCCCCGTGGATAGTGAGGCACAGAGAGGCTGAGGGACTGAGCTAAGGTCACACAGCAAAGCAGAGCCCAAAGCAGGGGTGAGGACAGTCTGCTTGGCTCCCAGGCAGGAGGTCCCGGCCCTCATGCTGCCCGCCTCCTGCAGACCGACCCCCCAGACAGCCCCCCGCCCCCACACACACACCCTCCCCCCCCAAAGCGCTCCCTCCCAGCACACCCTCACCGCTCCAGGCAAGACCCCGGCCGCCGGGTGAGCTCCCAGCCACCCCACCTGAGTGGCGGCTCCGACACCTGCATCGCCTCGGAGGCAGCAAGGAGAGGCCAGGGGACGGGAGCCCCGGGGAGGGGAGCCCCCGGGGAAGGAGGGGCCTTGGGCAAGCTCACACTCCCCCCATAGCTCGGGCACCTACGTCACCCCCCCACCAAGGCACACAGGACTCAGGCCCAGGTCCGGTGGTCACTCTGACTTCCGTTCAGAGGCAGGAGGAGGGTCGTCCTAAAGTAAGGTGACCAGACGTCCCGCTTTTGGCGGGACAGTCCCGATTTTTAACAATTTGTCCCACGTCCCGTGACATTTTTTTAAAATCCCGATTTTTTTTTTGAAAGATTCTTTCCAAAAATCGGAACTGTTTTTAAACACCGTGGGACACGGGACAAATTGTTAAAAATTGGGACTGTCCCCAGTCACCTTATCCTAAAGCGCCCATCACACTGCGCAGGCCCCAGGCCCCGGCCGGCCCCGCCCGGACTGCAGGCACAACACACACGCCTCCTCCCCAGCCCCCGGCGGCCTCCGAGGTCCTTTCCACACACGCTCAGCCCCCGTGGAGGCCCCGCCGAAGCCAGCCCCCCGGGGCCCGGCCCTGCGCGGAGAAAGCCGGCCAGTCCCCCAGCGCATGGAGCCACCCCTCTGCCCGTGCCAGCCTCCACTCACCCGTCCCCCCACGCCGAGGGCACCATGGGCGGGCACGCCAGGGACCGTCCTGCCCTCCAGGGCCCTGGCGCAGGGGCTGGCAGCACTTCCATCCCATTCAGATCGGAGCATCGGAGCAGTGCCCGCCCCGAACAGCCTTCCCTCCGTTCACCCGCAGCAGCGTGCGGAGCTGCCCGCCGGCCTGGCACAGCCGCCGCCTGGTTTCCGGCTCTGGATCACGCTTCCCTCTTAGAGGATAAGAAGCCGCTCAGAGAGGTCCCTCCGGAGGCAGCCCCAGCCCTGAGGCAGCTCCAGGGGGGTGAGATGCCGGGAGCCCACCATGGGGAGCCGTCCCCCCACACCCCAGCCTTCCCGGGTGCAGCCCAGGGAGCCCCTGTTAGCATTTCCCATGTGACACCAGCATGCGAGGCTCAGCCTGCCAGGCGGAGGAAGGCCTGTTTGTAAATATTTGTCTCCGAGGCCAAGCCGGGCCCCCGCTCGCCCAGCAGCCGCCTCGCTCCCGGCCCCGCTGCTCACACCGCTCCCAGCTCCCGGCCAATGCCCGGCGGGCACGGAGGCACAGGCTGGCGGGGAGCGGGCTGCGCGGGGAGGCGGCCGGCGCACCCCGGCCTCCGAGTACGACGACACCAGCTGTCCCCCCACCCCCACCCCCACCCCCACCCCGGGGCTGTGGCAGCGAAGACTCAGTTCCAAGCAAACAGCTTGTCCCCGGGGCCACCCGGTCTGTCTCTTATTCCGGAAGAAAGTGAGAAGCCAGAGAGAAGAGCCTGGGGGCATGCTTGCAAATCACGGCCCACCGCAGGCCTGTGCCAACCGCCTGTGCCCACAGCTGCCCCGGGGGAGCCGAGGTCCGTCCCCTTGTCCCTGATGTGGGCACGGAGGCTCACAGGGTGCCCTCCCGACAGTGTTCGGCGGCTGAGCCACTGCCCGGCCTCAGCATTCATTCCGTCACTCATCCACCCACCTCCAGCCCTCATTCCTCCCTCCCTCCCTCCCTCCCTCCCTCCCTCCGCGTTATTTATGTGCCGGCCACGGGGGCTCTCCCTCAGGTGGACGAGAGCATTCTGGGCCCCAAACCCCTGCAGACAAAGGGACGGTCCCAGCTAAGACCAGGGCTGGTCCGAGGTCAGAGGAGGCCTCCCGGGGTGAGGGGGGAGGCAGACAAGCAGACAGAGGCCGGGCAGGGCAGTGGGCAGAGCGGGGAGGGCAGCTGGGTGGAGTGGCCGCCCCAGGCCCGGACGTCAGCCCGGCCCCCCACCCCCCACCCCCGCCCAGCACCTACCCAGCCACTCGTTGAACTTCTTCACCTCGCTCGGCAAGCCCAGCTCGGTGAAGTCGCCAGCGTGGATGAGCACGTCGCCGTACGGCATCTGGATGGGGTCGGTCCGGGAGTGGGTGTCGGACACGCAGACGAAGCGGGTGTAGCCGGGCGGCTTGGGGGCGTCGTGAGGCACCGGGTCCACCCTGCGGGGGGAGGCACTCGTCACGGGGTCCCGGGGTCATGGGGTCACAGGGTCCTGGGCTCATGGGGTCCCGGGGTCCCAGGGTCCCGGGGTCACAGGGTCACGGGGTCCCGGCACCGAATGTGTACCTATGCTGTATAATAATGAGGGTGAGGTTTCTCACCCCACAGCACAGGCTTCTGGGCTAGACCACGAGGACTGATGCCCATGGCCCGGCTGACAGAAGTGGGCCCAGGGCAGGGCACACCCAGGGGAGCCACCGTGAAATGGGGGGGAGGGGGGAATCCCAGGGACACTCAGAACAGAGGCAGGAATCTGAGATGGTCTGACCACCCGAGAGCTCAGGCTTGGGGGGTGAGGGTGCGGGGGGGAAAGCAGCCCCAGAGCCAGGAGACCAGGCTCACACCCAGCCACACTGGCCACTCAGGTGTGGCCGTAGCCAAACCCTGGGCCCTGCCCCAGGGACCCGAAGGGCACAGGCCCAGGCTGCGGGCCCAGTCCCCAAGGGGGGCGTGCAGGAGGCGGCCTATCCATGCTCCTCTCATCACTGGTGTTTCTCTCTCTCTCCCTCTCCCTTCCGCTCTGAAATCGATAAAAACAAATTTACAAAAAGAATAACATAAAATAAGACCCACGTGGCCCTGGTCTGCGTGTCTGTGAAATGGAACGGCCTCGCTGAGCAAACCCCGGAAAATGGAAAAGCCGCAGGGCGTGCGTCCCGGTGCCAGAGCCCCTGGCAGCGAGGACGAGGGGCAGGTGGCTGGTCCCGGGGACCATGCGGCCCCCCTCCCACTCCGTGCCCCCCCCTCCCCGCTCCGTGCCCCTCCCCGCTCTGTGCCCCCCTCCCCGCTCCGTGCCCCCCCTCCCCGCTCCGTGCCCTCCCTCCCCGCTCTGTGCCCCCCTCCCCTCCCCGCTCCGTGCCCCCTCCCCCCACTCCGTGCCCCCCTCCCCGCTCCGTGCCCCCCCTCCCCGCTCCGTGCCCTCCCTCCCCGCTCTGTGCCCCCCCTCCCCTCCCCGCTCCGTGCCCCCCTCCCCCCGCTCCGTGCCCCCCCTCCCCGCTCCGTGCCCCCCTCCCCGCTCCGTGCCCTCCCTCCCCGCTCTGTGCCCCCCCTCCCCCCCCCGCTCCGCGCCCCCCCCCGCTCCGCGCCCCCCTCCCTGCTCCGCGCCCCCCCCCTCCCCGCTCTGTGCCCACCCCCCTGCCCGCTCCGTGCCCGCCCGCCTCTCAGTGAAGGACTGCCAGGCTCCGGCTCCTCACACACGCAATGACATTTCCGAACGGGAGCCGCTTGAGGAGGCCCCGGTGTTTAAATCTAATTACCGGTACTCCGCAAGCCAAAAGCAGGCCCGATCAGTTACATAAATACTTTTACAGACATCTTTCTAATTACCCTTTTTTTTTCAGACAATATACTTCAAAGAAATTTAATTAACACCTTACGCGCGACGTGGGTTCAGCATGCTGATGTGCAGGGCGTGAGCACGCTCAGTCCCGGCAGCCGCAGGCCGAGCCCCCAGCCGCGTCCCGCCAGCAGCCACGATCCCGCCCACTGAGCCGGCCCTCGGCCGTGACCGAGGGGCCACTGGGCCCGGTGAGAATCCCAGCAGATCCCAGCAGGACGGCGCCGGGAGCTCCTCCTCTCCCCTCCTCACTCATTCATCCCCTCACTCATTCGTTCCCTCTTCATTCAGCACCGCACCTCCGCCCACTCCTGTGAGCCAGCCCCCGCGCAGGGCTGGGGCCACAGGGATGCACCACGCCGACCCCCGGCCAGCAGACCCTCACGTGGCCAGACAGTAAAGCCACAGCTTCCGTGGGGCAGCAGCCAGTCACTGCCGACACTCCTCTGTCCTCGGGGTCCCTCCTTCTCCTCCCCTCCCCGCCCCCCACATGGCCCATATGGCGGAGGTGCCTGGCCCTGACCCACCTGCCCCTCGCGGCTGACTGAACCCAGGGCAGCCATTCACGTCCGAGCTACTGGCCTGGCACAGGCCGTGAGTGACCCATCAATGTCACCCCGTCACTCACTCCTTCACCCGCACACGGAGGCTGTGAGCAGCCGAGCCAAAGGGACAAAAGGAGCGAGGAAGAGCCAGAGGCCACTCCACCGCCCAGTCTCTGTCCTGCGAGGCCCTGGGGGCCAGCCGCCCGCACAGCACAGCGAGGGCTCCGGTCTCCGGTGGGAGCCGGCTGCACAGAACTGTGGAGCTGGCTCCGGCTCTTTAATTAACTCGGTTCTCATTTCCCTCCACCCCGAGGCTGCTGAGCTCCTGAGCGGTGAGCGCTCAAACCTACTCATCCCGGATTAGAAATAAGACTCCGGTTCCGGGCATGTCCTCCGGCTGTTTGGATTATAACGAACCTCAGCCCCTCCCCACAGGCCCTGTGAAGGGCCCCCGGGAACAGAGCTCATTGCCGCTGGGCGGGCGCTCTCCCCCGCCCCCCTGCCTCCCTCGGGCACCTGCCGGGTGCGGCAGGACGGGGGCTGCAGGGCGGGGGCTGCAGGTGTGCTCCTGCCCGTGAGGAGACCAAGGCTCCGGAAAGACTGCCTGGACCCCCACGGTGGGGGTCCCCAAATTCACACAAGGCTGGACTATGGCAAGGTCCTCATTCATTTCCTTCCGTCAATCTATGAATGCTTTCTCTCTCTCTCTCTCTCTCTCTCTCTCTCTCTCTCTCTCTCTCTCTCTCTCTCTCTCTCTTTTAATCCTCAACCGAGGAGGGAAGATATTTTTCCCATTGAATTTTTTTAGAGAGAGTGGAAGTGAGGGGGAAGGGGCAGCGAGAGGAGAGAAAGAGAAACATTGATGTGAGAGACACATGGTTTGTGCCTCCCACAGATGCCCTGACTGGATGCGGGGACTGAACCTGCAACCCAGGTACGTGCCCTTGACCGGGAAGCGAACCCAAGACCCTCGGGTGTACAGGTGGCCGCTCTAACCCCTGAGCCACCCAGCCAGGCCTGGACAAATGCTGATTTGTGCCTCTTACAGGACAGGCACGTGCTAGGCTAAGGGATGCGCCTGTGGCCAGGACGCCCACGGAGGACTCCACACGGAGTCCCAGAACCAGCTGTGCTGGAGGGGAGGACTGAGGACAGAACCAGAACAGCCTCAGCGTGGGGAGCCGGAGAGCACAAGCGAGCAGAGGAGAGCGTGGGAGAGCCTGACGGACACCTGCTGCTGGATCCAGCTGTGCCTGAAGCCGGATCCTCGCTACGAGCCTGTAAACTCCCTTTTATCCTGAACACCGTCTGAGTTGGGTTTCGGACACTCGGAATGGCAAAACCCCCGTGGACACCAGCGTCACGGGGACCCTCGGGGACCGAGGCCGGGAAGTGAGGCCCAGGTCCACGGTCGCACAGGACGGTAAAGAGCAGGTCTGAGCCCGCGTCTCCGCCGCAGGAAGCGGGCACTAGCCCAGCACCTTCCTGTGACAATGACAACAGAGCCGGAATGAAGGCAGTTGTGTTCTAGCTCCGCTGGGAGGGCCGGGAGGCAAGGGGCCGCCTGGGCCAGCCCACAGGGGCGCTCCCCAGCCTGCTCGGAGGGGCTCCGCCAACAGGACCCTTTGAAAGCCAGCGAGCAGCCGAAACCGGTGTGGCTCAGTGGATAGAGCATCGGCCTGCGGACTGCAGGGTCCCGGGTTCGATTCCAGTCAAGGGCATGTACATTGGTTGCAGGCACATCCTCAGGAGGGAGTGTGCAGGAGGCAGCAGATCGATGATTCTCTCTCATCGATGTTTCTAACTCTCTGTCCCTCTCTCCTCCTCTCTGTAAAAAATCAATGAAATATATATTTTAAAAAAATTTAAAGCCAGCGAGCAGAGGCGCTATGCCTGGCCCCAGCCCAGGGCCCCTGTAAGGCGGGTCCCAGGAGAACCCAGTCCCTCCAGCACCACCCGCCCCCGCCTTCTCCCCGACCGCCGGGCCACGCGCCCTCCTGCCCGCCCAGCGCGGGAAGACGGGGGCTGCGGGGGCTCGGCCCCAGGGGGAGGGGGCGCAGGCCCAGAGATTCCTGACTCAGGCTCGGGCAGCCTGTGACCGCCGGGCCTCCGGGGCCCGGCGTGAATCACGGCTGCCTCCGAGGCCACGTCGGGCTGTCGCTGTTGTTATTAAACATAAATTGTGGGTTTATTCAATGAGGCCCCTCGCTCCCCGGCCCACAGACAAAGCCCGGGGCGGCGATCCATCACGGGCGGGGAGTGGCTTCCGCTGCCAAGGGTCCCTCTGCGGAGGCTCCATGGAAACCCGCCCCGCCGGCAGCCACACGCTCCCCGGCACCCGGGCTGGGGTCTGAGGGCGGGGGAGGGTGGAGGGAGCACCCCACGTCCCTGCATGGCCCTGGCCTCCTGCAGCTTTGGGCCCGGTGTGTTTCAGGCCTGGCTGGCCCGGCGGGCAGGGAGGGAGCACTGGATGGGGAGTCCGGAACCAGACTCGGTGCCTGGTCTTCCTGTGCGCTGCCCAATCCAGCCACCTCTGAACCCACTGCCCACGGAGGCCCGGAGCCTGGCCACAGAGGGGCAGCGCAGAGCGGGCCGGGAGGGAGGGGGCGGGGCAGGCCCGAGTGAATCTGCTCCGACCACTCCTTCTGGTGAGACCACAGGAAGCCACAGCGTCTCCACAGCACTGCCTGCGGCCGGTGCCTCAGGCCCTGAGCCCGTACGACACGTGTGCGTCTGCCACCGGCCAGGGCCCCGCTCGGCAGGCGCAGGGGCGAGGACGGAAGGGGCAGAGGCAGGATTCAAACCTGGCGCATAGCATGTGTGCTAAGCAGCTGCTCACTCACATCGAATGAATGAAGGAAGGAAGGAGTGAGTGAGCGAATGGGCCAAGGAGCAGACAGCCCACAGCTGCCTGTGGGTCCAATGGGAGAGGTACCCCCTGTGCACCCTCCGCCCAGCGGTGGCTGCTGAGCCCCAGGTGCCCCTTGCTCCAGCCCTGCCAGCTCACTGCCCCCACACATCCTCCTCACCCAGAAGCCTCGCTGCCCACAGGGTCCTACCCCCGCCCCGGCCCTGTGCCTCCCGGCCTAGGCCTTCCTGGTTCCCCCGCTCTGAGCTGGGACCAGGGCCGCCTGGGTGCCCGCGGGCTGGGGCAAAAGTGCGGTCTCTGACAGCTCTGCCTGGCACTGCACGGCCTCCGGGCACCATGGGTGGTGCCTGCGGACCCCTCTGCGCATGCGCCCGGCCACAAACAGCCCAGCCCAGCTCCCCACGGAGGCAGGGTCTGTCGGGCACCCAGGGCCTCAGGAGGGCACGTCCAGGAGGCCTCTCTGCCAGGCGTGAGCTCCCAGGGCACAGTGTGCCTGAGACCCAGGCCGCCCTCCTCCCAGCCCGGCCCGTCCCTCCGGCCCTAACACGGAAGCTGGAGGCCGTCCCCCAGCAGAAATCCACCAAAACTGCAGCTGCTGCCCACGCCGGCCCCCAGGCCTTCTCCGGGCGAGTGCCGGCGCTGGGACCGCCGGCCCGGAGGCCCCGCCTCCTCCTGGGAACACCGCCCCGGTGCCCGCCGTCACAGCGGGGCCAGGGCAGCACCCCTCCCACCCCCTCCACGCCGGGCTGGACCCCACCTCTCCTCTAAGAGGCCGCATGCTGGATTCCCGGGTCTCCCCAAAGGGACAGCCTCCCCCGCCAGGAGGTGGTGCTCCTGGCCGCAGTGGGACCTGGTGGCCCCGTGCCTGTCACAGCTCTGACCGCCTGTGCCGGCACCCACCCGCACGCCTCAGGGTCTCAGGCTTTCTCCAGGGAAACCCGGGGGCCGGGCGGGAGGAGGGAAGGCAGCCAGCCCGGGACCGGGGCCCGGTCTGACCCTGCCGTGGGGCCTCGGTCTCCCCATTGGTGCAGCGAGGAAGATAGCTTAGACCGGGGAGCGGGGGGGCCTTAAACCCAAATACCAAGAAGGGGAAGCTGGGCCTCAGCCCGCAACCCCCTCCCCCCCCCCCCCCCGGGCTGCACGAGGGCCTGGGGCCGGGTTGCCAGAAGCCTGGACGTTCATATGCAATCACCTCATTTTTTTTTGTTTATAAAACATTCTCCAGTCCAAACGACAGGACTCCGGGCCAGAACCAGCCCACGGACCATCACTCCCCCCTCCCCTCCCTCCCCTCCCTCCCTCTCTCCCTGCGGAGATCCTGGCACCCCCCCCCCCCAATCGAGAAGGCTGGGTGCAGCAGCCAGGTGGCGCCCCATGGAGAGCCCACCCGGCCGGCCACCCGGCCCCCCACCTCCCAGGTTCCCCACTCCAAGGCCCCCCACACCACAGGCCCCCAGCCCCCCAGGACCCCCACCCTCCAGACCCCCCACCCTTCAGGTCCCCCAACCCTCCAGGCCCCCCAACCCTCCAGGCCCCCCACCCTTCAGGCCCCCCAACCCTCCAGGCCCCCCAACCCTCCAGGCCCCCCACCCTTCAGGCCCCCCAACCCTCCAGGCCCCCCAACCCTCCAGGCCCCCCACCTCCCAGGCCCCCACCCCCCAGATCCCCCACCCTCCAGGCCCCTCGCCCCTCAGACCCCCCACCCCGCAGCCCCCGCCTCCCAGCCCCTCCCCCAGGCCCCCCGCCCCCCAGCCCCCGCCCCCAGCCCCGCCCCCAGGCCCCCCGCCCCCAGGCCCCCCACCCCCCGGCCCCCGCCCCCAGCCCCGCCCCCAGCCCCGCCCCCAGCCCGCCATCGGCACTCACATCTGCACGTGGGGCGGCTGGAAGCGGCCCTGGTTGATGTTGTAGAAGGTGAAGGCCTGGGTGGGGTTGGCGCTGTACTCGTCCACCTCGACGGCCAGCCGGCCGTGCTGGTGCCGCCGCGGGGCCATGCCGTGGGGCTGCGGGAAGGCCATGCCCAGGCCGCAGGGCAGCAGGGCCAGCGCCTCGGCCTTCAGGGCGCCGGCGTCCCACCTAGCGCGCCACATGGGCCCGCGCCGGCCGCCCGGGCATCTCCCGCCGCCAACGCCGCCGCCGCCGCCGCCCGCGGACCTGGAGCGGAACCGTGCGACAGTTAATCTGTTTGGGATTTGCTTTATTTAATGTCAGATGAAGATTTAGAAAGAGGGGGAGGGCGGGGGGCGGGGGGAAAACACAGTCGTACAGCTCAAAAACTCATTACAAATCTTTCCAACTCAGCAGTTTGATGAATATACTTTGGTAAAAAGAAAAGGGAAAGGAGGGAGGGGACAAAGAAAAGCCCGCCGGGCGGGGGTGGCGGCTGGCGTGGTCCAACACGCTCACATACCTCAGGCTCTCTCTGCCGCTGGCAAAGCCCACGCCCCCGCTGGGCCCGGCGGGAGGCTGGAGCACCGCCAACAGGTGAGGTGAGCTTCTCCCCTCCACACCCCCCAGCCCTCCCTCGGACCCGGACGCACCCCCTCCCCAGGCCCCACACCCACCCTGCAAGCCCCGGCAGGTGGGCCGCAGCGCGTTCCTCCCGGCACCCATCTGCCCGGAGCCGGGAGCAGAGGGAGTTTCCCGGCAGGCAGCCCTCTGAGGCTCCCCCTGCTCAGGCCCAGCCCCGGCCCCGGCTCCCGCTCCGACTCCGGCTCCCACCCAGCTCCCGCTCCGGCTCTGGCTTCTGCTCCCGCTCCGACTCCGGCTCCCGCCCAGCTCCCGCTCCGGCTCTGGCTGCTGCTCCCGCTGCGACTCCGGCTCCCGCCTGGCTCCCGCTCGGGCTCCTGCTCCGGCCCCGGCTCCCGCCCGGCTCCCGCTCCAGACCCGGCTCCCGCCCAGCTCCCGCTCCGGCTCTGGCTCCCTCCGGGCTCCCGCTCCGGCTCCGGCTGCTGCTCCCGCTCCGGCCCCGGCTCCCTCTGGGCTCCCGCTCCGGCCGCGGCTCCCGCCCGGCTCCCGCTCCGGCTCCCGCTCCCGCCCGGCTCCCGCTCCGGCTCCGGCTGCTGCTCCCGCTCCGGGTGGCCAAGGAGGGGCGGGCGGGGAGCCGGAATCCACCTTCACCAAAACCCTCCCCGACGCCTTCCTAAGCCTCTCAGGGACCCAGTCACCCTGGATCCACTCAGAACCACAGCTCCCGGCACCGTCCGCACTGGTTGGGTTTGTGTCGCTGGAAAGCGGGGTTTGCATGGGAACCACCCGCGTCCATGGTGTGAGGCCAGCGCGCCCCCCCCCCCCGCCAGGCCCCGCGCCTCCTCCCCAGGCCCCGCGCCCCGTGGCTCCGTCCCTCCGTGGCTCCGTCCCCTCCGTGGCTCCGTCCTCCGTGGCTCCGTCCCTCCGTGGCTCCGTCCCCTCCGTGGCTCCGTCCCTCCGTGGCTCCGTCCTCCGTGGCTCCGTCCCCTCCGCGGCTCCGTCCCCTCCGTGGCTCCGTCCCCTCCGTGGCTCCGTCCTCCGTGGCTCCGTCCCCTCCGCGGCTCCGTCCCTCCGTGGCTCCCTCCCTCCGCGGCTCCGTCCCTCCGTGGCTCCGTCCTCCGTGGCTCCGTCCTCCGTGGCTCCGTCCTCCGTGGCTCCGTCCCTCCGCGGCTCCGTCCCTCCGTGGCTCCGTCCCTCCGTGGCTCGTGGCTCCGTCCCTCCGTGGCTCCGTCCCTCCGTGGCTCCGTCCCCTCCGTGGCTCGGCGCCTTTGTCACCATTGGAACCACGTAAAGAGGAAACGCCTGAACGCGCGTGGTTCTGTCCCGCGTGTGGCCACTCCGTGCGCCCGGCACTAACCACGGAGGACACGGCGTGGGGCAAGCGCTCCGGCCGGTCACAGCCCAGCCACTCCAAAGAACACCCCCTTCGCGGTGGAAAAAGGACCCACACGGTCAGAACACAAATGAGCCAGAAAACGACCAAAATTAGAGGCTGAGAGCACTCTGGGCAGGCACACGGGAGGAACGGGCTAGTGAGGCTAAACAGGAGCCTCACAGTCACGGCAACAGCGGATCCTCTCTCCAAGCCCCTCGCACCCGTCCCGGCTCACAGCACAGCCCCTCCCCCCGAGAAAGCCGGCCTCCCCGCGGCGAGCCCGTCTGAGCGCGCGGCTCCATCGGCGCCCCCGCCCCCACATGGACATGGCGGCCGGCCTCGGCGTGGGCGCCGGTTCCTGGCCCCGGACTCACAGAGCCTCCGGGAGCCGGCCCTGCCGGCCCGTCGGGAAGTTGGGGAGAAGTTGGGGAGAAGCCTCGGGCAGCAGAAGCCGCAGTCCAGGGCTGCCCCGGCCCAGATCTGCACGTGGATTTGAACCTCGGCCTCCTGCCGATTTGCTGTGTGACCTCAGGCCGACTTCCCACCCTCCCTGAGCTTCCTCGGCCTCCTGTTCGGAGAACACGTTTGGAAAGCAGAGCCTCACCTCCCAGGACAGCTGTGCAGGCTCTGGGAATGGGGGCCTGAGCCGGTGCTGGCGGGCACCGGGCCCAGCTGACACCGGCAGTTACTCTGCGATCACCATTCCGCTCCCCTGCCCGTGTGCGGAGGCCCGTGTGCGGAGGCCAGTGTGGGGAGGCTGATGTGCAGTAGGGAGGCCCATGTGCGGAGGCCTGTGTGCGGAGGCCCCTGTGCGGGAGGGAGGCCCGTGTGCGGAGGCCTGGGGGAGCAGGGCCGCCGGGGCGGGGCCTCTGAGGTGCGGGGTGTGAGCGAAGGGGCAGCTCCAGGAGCCCGGGGCACCCAGATCCTCTCACACGCCTGCCGCCACGCCCCTGCTCTGCACCTGCCACACTGCTCTGCGGGGACCACGCTGCTCTGCGGGGACCACGGCTGCTCTGCGGGGACCACACTGCTCTGCGGGGACCACACTACTCTGCGGGGACCACACTACTCTGCGGGAACCACGCTGCTCTGCGGGGACCACGCTGCTCTGCGGGGACACGCTGCTCTGCGGGGACACGGCTGCTCTGCGGGGACACGCTGCTCTGCACCCTGCCACGCTGCTCTGCGGGGACCTCGGCTGCTCTGCGGGGACACGGCTGCTCTGCGGGGACCGTGCGCATGGACCTGAGCTGGCGGCTCCCAGCCTAGGCTCTGCACGGAGGGACGGCAGCTTTGCCGGGAAGGATAAATGAAGTGACGCATGCAAACTGCTCCTTACAGAGCCCAGCACATAGTAAGTGCCCAATAAACACGCTGTTCCTGCTTGCATCATCCCATCCTGCCAGGCCTCCTGAATACTGAGTGAGGGAGGAAGGGAATGAGGGAGGGAGCAGGGAGGGAGGGAGAGACAGGTGCAGGGAGTGGGGGAGGATGGAGGGAGTATGGGGGATGGACGGACAGAGTGTCAGAGTGCCAGACTCCCTCCCTGGTGCCAGCTCGGCCTGGCAGAGGGTGGTGTCGAGAGGGCTCAGCTTAAGGTTGAAGAGCCATCGCCCCCTCCCCTTTCCACCCTGAGAATCTGCAAGAGGCTGGCGGGTGGGCATGGTCCTTATGAAGGGCCCCGGGGGCCTGCACCCACCGGCCGGGGGAGAGGGGAGCAGGCGCCCGCGTGCCCGGCCCGGCCTCCGGGAGCCGGCGCTGCTCCGGGGACGTGGCCGGAAAAGGCAGTCCGGCCCCGGGGCTGTGCAGTGAGGGGCCGCGTCCCCATGAAGGGGTTCGCAGCGCCCCACGGAGGAATCGGGGAGCGGAGCGAGCGGAGCCTCTGTTAACGCCGTTTAATATTTATGGGGCCGCAGCGCGCAGCCAGCGTGCAGACCAGCCATCGCGGAGCCAGCCATTCCCACCAACGGCTTCAGCGGGAGCGCCCACCGGGCCGGGACGCAGCACGCAGGCGGGGGGCGCTGAGGAAGGGGCGGAGGTGCCTGCTGTCCAGCAGAGTGACCCTGGGCCGGTCACAGGTCCCGCTGGACCAGGGGAGCCTCCGGAGCCAGGTGGCGGGAGGGGAACGGGGGAGGCGGTGGGGGTGTGATGGCCCACGCACTGACTCAGGCTCACTGGCCTCCAGGGCCGGCCCTCCCGCGGCCCCTGTTCCTGGGGCAGAAAGAGCAGGAAAAGCACAGCAGCCACGGCCCTCACCGGGGGTGGGGGAGGGGCGGTAAAGTCACCCCCTAAGCAAACACAGAGCTGTTTTCAGAGGAGCAGATGGACCCACAAGGGGCAGAAGGGGTGATGGGGTGACAGGCACCGGGGAAAGGAGGTGCATTTTAAGTTGGGTGATAAGAAAGGCCAGTCTGAAGAGGTGACATCACCACAGAAGCAAAGGCCGAGAGCGAGCCAGGCCTGCCCGGACCCGGGGACAGAGCCGGGGGACAGAGCGGGGGGGACAGAGCGGGGACAGAGCGGGGGACAGAGCCGGGGGACAGAGCGGGGGGCAGAGCCGGGACAGAGCGGGGGACAGAGCGGGGACAGAGCGGGGGACAGAGCGGGGGACAGAGCGGGGACAGAGCGGGGGACAGAGCGGGGGGACAGAGCGGGGGGGACAGAGCGGGGACAGAGCGGGGACAGAGCGAGGACAGAGCCGGGACAGAGCGGGGGACAGAGCGGGGACAGAGCCGGGACAGAGCGGGGACAGAGCGGGGGACAGAGCGGGGACAGAACGGGGACAGAGCGGGGACAGAGCCGGGGGACAGAGCGGGGACAGAGTGGGGACAGAGCGGGGGACAGAGCGGGGGGGACAGAGCGGGGACAGAGCGGGGGACAGAGGGGGGACAGAGCGGGGACAGAGCGGGGACAGAGCGGGGGACAGAGGGGGGACAGAGCGGGGACAGAGCGGGGACAGAGCGGGGACAGAGCGGGGGACAGAGCGGGGACAGAGCGGGGACAGAGCCGGGGGACAGAGCGGGGACAGAGTGGGGGACAGAGCGGGGGACAGAGCGGGGGGGACAGAGCGGGGACAGAGCGGGGGACAGAGGGGGGACAGAGCGGGGACAGAGCGGGGACAGAGCGGGGACAGAGCGGGGGACAGAGCGGGGACAGAGCGGGGACAGAGCGGGGACAGAGCGGGGGACAGAGCGGGAGACAGAGCGGGGGGGACAGAGCGGGGGACAGAGCGGGGGGGACAGAGCGGGGGACAGAGCGGGGACAGAGCGGGGACAGAGCGGGGACAGAGCGGGGACAG